GAGAGAGAGAGAGAGAGAGAGAGAGAGGCACCGACGGGGCAGCCAGAGTCAGCAGGGATCGGCCGGAATCAGCAGAGCACCAACCCGAGCCCCGGGGCAGCGAAAAGAAAAAAAAGGAAAGGCAAGGACCCCCAAAACACACCGACATAGAAGCTGACATTCATCATCAGCACGCCGAACACCGGGCCCAGGGCAAAGCTGACAAAACCGCGCAATGGTCAGTCCACATGGCAAACGAGGCGGACAAGGCGAGGCACCCGGGGAAGGCCGAGACCCAGGACCCTCCCCCCGGCGCAATGCACGACGCACCCGGTCTCGAGCAAGGTCGTGGAGATGGAAATGAAATAGAAACGCTCGGAGCCCGAGGACCCGGACCCCACAACCGGCGTCGAGTGGGCAATGTACGGCAGCGTGATGAGGGTGCCACTCAAGCTGCGGAGAGCAGGGCCCGGGGGGGAAGGGGGAGAGGACATTAGCAAAGAAAAAAAAAGAGAGAGAAACACACATCCTCGCCAAAGACCAAACGGGAGGCCGACCACGCGGCACGACACGCACCAGAAGCCCAGGGAGAAGCGCGACAGCAGGATCGCAAAGCGATTCAATGCAAACAGGTATCCCATGCTGAAGATGATGGAAAAGATCCCCATGGTGATGAACACCTGTCGGGCGTTCTTTCGGACATACCTGCGGATGTGGGTGTGAGGGGGGGGAGGGGGGGGGGCCGCAAGGAGGGTAGACCGGGTGAGAATTGCCAATCGAGGCCCAGGGCATGCAACAGCGGCGGCGATCATTAACAACATCAAATACATGCATGTGTGCCTGCACATCCGGGGATAGGCAGGATGGCCGGCCACGCACCAGTAGTTGGTCACCGGCAAGCCGAGCAGCTGCCCCAGGGGGAACATGGCCGACACGATGCCCAGCTCCAGGTGGCTATCCGTGCCCGAGGACGGGGTCATGGTGGCTGCATGGGCAGGAGGAGGCGCAGGAGAGGGGGGAAACACGGTTAGCAGGGGGGGGGGGAGCGAAAAGACAAACCCCACGGCCGCCACGAGACCGAGGGACACACGCACGTCCGGGCTTCATGGATTCCAGGAAGAGGTATAGCGAGGGGACCGTGACGCTGGCCATCATGGCGCCGAAGAAGAGAATCGCCATGGCCACATAGAGCGAGCGGGTGCGGCTGCGCCGCTGCGATGGCGACTCCAGCGTCCCGTTCGGGCCCTCGGTGCGGATGAGGTTCTCCTGGGCCGAGGGGTCCAGCCCGCGGAAGACCACATTCGGGTCCTCGACCGACGGATCGGTCAAGGCCTCGACATCGGGCGAGGGCTGGTATTTGAGTTAGGGAGCGGTGGATTGGCGAGGGAGAGAGAGAGAGGGAGGGAGAGAGAGAGGGAGAGGGAGAGAGGGGGAGAGAGAGGGAGAGAGGGAGAGAGAGGGAGG